TCTTGTGATAACCATAATACCCTATCATACATAGCTTTTAAATTATTTACTCCCTCATCTGTTTCAGTGCAGTATACACAATTTATCCAGTTTTTCTCAGTCTTATCCCAACCCTGATCAGTCCCATTTTATAGCAGTGGCACCATGCAATACTTGTCCTTTTGTGACTGAGGTATTTCACTCAGCATAATGTCCTCCAGGCTCACCCATTTTAAATAATATTGCATGTGTTCCTTGCTTTTCAATGCAGCGTAGTATTCCATTGTGTGACTATACCACAGCTTCTCTATCCATTCGTTTGTTGATGGGTGTCCTACTCTTATAAAGAAGACAGATGTATGAATTAAAGGTAGACTTGGCTGCTGCAGCAAAGATGTAGTTTCTCAATGACTTTAACAGGTATTTCTAAAGGTAGATAGGTCAGGGTGGAGTCGGGGAAGGTTATCTCATTCTCAATGTGTATCTCCCATGGTTGCATTCAAATGGCTCCTTTAGCTCCAACCATCCAATCCTAATTCAAATCAATATGAAATCTGCCCCTGCCTTTTAACACTTAAAAGTCACAAACCACTTGCTGCTCAAAACTGAGTGTTCAAACTTAATAACACAGACATGACAATCTGTAAAGGAAGCTGGGAAAGATCATCTTGCTTTCAGCTAAAATAATAGGTATTTATTAATAGAAGAAGAAGGAGAGATAGATATTGCTCTATCTCAGACCACTCTGGGAAGCCCACACTAAGAACACATTGACCATCCATTGAAAGGAGACAGGGTGGGTGTGGGGGAATAAAGGAGGCAATGAACCTCCCTCTGGAGACAGCACCCACCTCCGAGTGCAGGATCTCTGAGGTTCTGACCATCCTCTCTAACAACTTCAGACAGCGTTTCTCATGGTCTGTTGCCCTAAAAATGAAAAGGCAGGAAATATGACCTTCCACTCCCAATAACAACAGTGGGGTAAAATTAGATAAACTCAATTAAAATATCCACTGAAGACAGAAGAAACATACCAAATACCTGTCACTTGCTGGACCTAACAGTTGCTAAGTCCAACTGGGCAGAAATTTCAAAGCCTCTTCCTGGCACTGGTGTATGTTCATGGCCAGCATGACTGGCCACCCCTGGTTTTATGTCTGGGATGATTTTCCCATTGTTCTCCTGTATGGCTTTGGCCTTTGCCTCCTGGCAAATTCTTTTTAGTCTGATGTCCTTGTGACCACATTGGAGAACACGTCCTTCTGTGGACTCTACAGGTATGTAGCCTCTCTTTTGTTGGGTAAATTTGGGGTACTGGGACCTTTTGCAAGGTTCAGGCTAGGCTTTGCTGTTTGGATTCATGGTTTCTTTGCCAATACAATGCCCTCAAATTCTTAGAAAGTTTCTGCTCAATTTAATGTTTGAGTAACCACAGTTAATAGTTTTATGCAGACATCAATTTTATGCTTGAATGCACTGTGCTTGATGTTCTTAATCCCCCATCCTTTAAATTGAGGCCATCTGAGAATGCATACTTGGCTGTAAAGAGAATGCCTTTACTTTGACTTCTACTCAACAATATCTGCTTGAGAAAGTTGGGCATGGCTGCTGCTTCTGAAGTGCATTTTTCTTAAAGATATTGCTAGTAGCAACGTATATCTTTCTTAAAGGATTTTGCTAGAAACAGCAAGAAGCAGCTAGTACACACCAACAGTCTGAGGCTTTTCCACATAGGATCTCTAAGTTACAGACTCTGTTTGGCATATGATCTACCTTCAAAGACTTTGCAAATATCATTCTTGCCATGTATTTTCTATAACATAACAGGGTCACCCATTTACCAGTACACAGGATTTACCTTTGTCATCTGCTGTCCAATCTCTAGGTCAATCCCACTTGTTTTAGTGTCTTAAGGTAATGCCACTTCCAGCTACCAGATTCTGTATCCATTTGGCTGTGCATTGGGTTGTTGTAATAAAGACTTGCTTTAAGAATGGCTTAAACAAGGACATTTCTGTAATGGTACGTGGGCAGTCTAAAGCTGGTAGGATACCGAGCCCCACACGCATTTTCCATCTCGAATACAAGGTGGCTGCTCCAGCTCCTGCCCTCACCAGTGCATTCCAGCCAGCAGAAAAGGAAAAGGGGACTCATGCCTCTTTTAAGTTCTGATGTGGAAGTTCTTGTGTCACTTCCACTCCATTTATCTCATTGCCGAGACTTTAATCACAAGGCCATGTTTAGCTGTAATGAAAGCTGGGAAGCTAAGTTTTTATTATGAGCAACGATGGCAGCTAGGATTCAGGTGATTATATTACAAAAGGGAGGAGCAAGAAATAGATACAGGGGAGAAGACACAACCGTCAGTCCCTTTCACGGAAGGTTTTTATCCTCATTTTGTCCTACCTTCGTGGAAATGAGCTCAGAGAAAACAAGCAGTGCTCATCAGGATCGTATGTCAAGGCAATGGCAGAGCACGGATTTGAATCAGATTCACCTGAGGCCCATGTCTTCATGACATCCAGCTGACATAGCTCAGTTATCAAAGTAGCCACAGCTGAACTGGAAAGAAGGCTCATTCTTACGTGAACTTGTGTCAACACCAGCCCAAGCTGCCCTCGGAGGCATGGTCAGGTCTATAGGCGCACACATGTACTGACTGTAAGGAGATCGCTGTCTGGCAAGCGGTGCAATCAGGGAAGACGTTCACTGCTCCTGGCCCTGCAGGGTGGAGTATATCTGAAGTGAAGGGTCAGGTGATCCTGGGGGAGGCTGTACTGGGGAGCAGGTCTGCCTGTATCTGACTTGGCTGTAAAGGTAGCGCTAAAAGGTAAGAGTGGAAGGAACTTTCCAGATGCACTGCATCTCTCCAAGGTGGTTCACTCGGTCTTTGCACCATCTGACGTATTCCCATTAGAAATATCTTAGAAATGCCATCATCTGAGACCAGACCAGGCAAGGCCTCAGGGATCTCCAGAGAGTCACTCTCTCTGTCATCTAAGATGCATGTCTTAGGAGGCATGTGTCTTAGATAAGCAGAGCATCCTCTGCTGCTTTGTTCCCATCCACCCACCCCCCACCCCCCAGACAGCACAAGGGCTTTAGGGATGACAGGAAATGTCTTCAATCAGTTCAGCACAAAATCTATGACTCCATTCCTGGGTGTCCACAGCAGAGATGGGAACTGGGATGATAGAAGCTAAAAGAAGGCGAAGGAGGGAGGGAGCCGGAGCAGTCCAGTCAGCATACCCAGATTTGGATATTGACTCAGGCCCCAGGAATGTCAGGGGGGCGGGATGGGCAGAGCTGGGCTGGATTCCCGCTGGCTCCAAGAGTTGTAGGGACAACATGCACACAGAGCCGGGTTGCCAAGGCTCCTACACACCCGGACATACCTTTTAACCGCAGGTATGAACAGGTGTCTCATCCTGCAGAGAAGTGCAGACCTCGAGCCCCCAAGCCCACCCCACACTATCAAGGTGATTTCCATCTACTTGAACCACCCTTATGGCAGATTTTCCCGCAGAGAGGGGGACAAGCTCCTGGGACCACCCTATCCATGTCCTCAGTGCAAGCAGCTGAACCTTTCCAGCTCCAGCACCACCCTAGTGGAGTTAGGAAGGAAAAAAGTCAGGCCCAGTTCACCTTCAATTTCCCTCTTTTGTGCCTGGCAAAGATAGTAGAAGCTCTCAAAGTAGGAAGCTAGGCTCTCAGCTCAGGGCTCCTACAACACTGAAAGGGCCTTTGCCAGGCCCTGTGTAGCCTAACCTACACTTGGAGACCCCAAAAGCAGCAGGGCCAGGCGTTAAGATGCCCAGGTGTACCCTTTCTTCCCCACCCGCCCCCCAAGCTGCTGGTCTACAGCAGCTGAGCGGATGGACCCCTCCCTCTCCACAGCCTGACACCCAATCAGAGGGAAACCGATCTGGGGAGGGCAGAGCGCCAGGGGCCGGGCTCAGAATAGTGCTGCCTAGCCAGTGTGTCGCACTCTCGCTCTCTGTGGGTCGGGGCTGGCTGCATGAAGCCCAGCAGGAGCACTTAGAGCTGCGCAGGGTACAGGGGTCCCAGAGGGTGGGAGCTGGGGTGGCCCAGCCTGGCAGGAGGGTGAGAGCACACTGGGCCAGAGAGGAGGTGAGGGGTGGGAGGGGAGAGAGAGAGAGAGAGAGTGCTTGTGTATGAGGGTCTAGGTTCTTTGTGGACTTTCTCTGCTTTTGTGAACATGTGGGTGTCTGTCCGCATATTTGGTGAGGACATGGTGCTGTGTTTTGGGAGTCTGCTGTTTACAAGAGTGTGTGTGTGTGTGTGTGTGTGTGTGTGTGTGTGTGTATTTAAGTACATGTCTGTGTCTAAACGGTGGGGATATGTCTGTATGTACATATGGATGTTGGTGAAGCTGGTGTCAATAAATGTGATGCGTCTGTGTATCTGTGTGTGTCTGAGTTGGGGTGGTGGGGTGGAGGGGGCAGGCCTGCGGTTTGAGAATTGAAAGCATTTTCCCCACAGACTTTGCCTGGAATATTCTCTAGGAGCTGAAGCACCAGAGTAGGCGAGCCTGCCCCCTTTGCAATGGGCCTACTCTCCCTCCTCCCTTTGTCCCTCACTTGTTGGGACCCAATTTTATCTCCCCCATCAGTTAGTTTTTGTCTCCCTCTCCTTTTCCTGTTTTCTCACTCTGTCTGGTCCTCAGTTGTTGTTTCTCTTACTCCCTCTTTTGCTTTTTCAGAAGAGGAGAGAGATCATCTAAAGTCTGAAGACTTGGGCACCTGTCCTGATCTTACCACATACTAGCTGTGTGACTTGTAGTCAATTGCTTAACCTCTCTGAACTTCAGATCCCTCTCTAGCAGTGATAGCTGTGATAATCATACTTCCCTTATGGAGCCAGTAGAGTTTTGAATGAGAAACCTGTCGGAGGAGAGTCCTTTGAAGGTTACAAATATTAAGTCTTAGTATTAGTGCATTTTATTTCTTTTGTTCTACCCCTCCCTATTAACCAAATAGGCCTAATTCACCTTTCCAGAGATGAGCTTCCTAGAGCAAGGAGACAGCATCTCATGGCCATCACCAACTGTGACCACCGGGTCAGAAAGAACCCTTGGGAAACGGGGGGCCAAGGCCTTGAGATGGACAAGACAAGAGGCTTTGGAGGAAAGGGAGCCACCAGGCCTGGGAGAAGGTGAGACCAAGGCCAGTTCTGTGGTGGTGGTGGGGGTGGTGGCTGAAGGAAGTCCCAGAGTGTACAGTCAAGCTGCCCATAATGTAGGTATGTCCATAATGCATGACCCAACCTTCATCTTGTAAGCCCAGACTTCCCAGAGGCCTAGTGTGACAAACTCAGAAAAACAGGACAGAGCTAGTACCTTGTTGTGTGGCTCTCTGAGCCTTAGTTTTCTCATCTGTAAAATGGGAGTCACAGCAGCCAGGCTTCCCAGTTGGCTTTGGAAGATAAAGCTACTATCTTCCAGAGTTCCCTGTCCAGACCAGCTGCTGAGTCCACTGGGCTGGAGGCCACATTCCTCAAAACCACAGCTTTGGCTCAAGCCACTTCTCTGCCCCCAGCAGGCCCTCCACCCACAGGCTGGGACTTCCTGCAGCCTGACTGTGCCATCTCAGGTGTGGGCTCCAGCACAGACGATCTGGAGTTGGGCATAGAATTCCCGGCCATGGCACCCTGGGGATATGAGCTTGAAGGCCTGGTAGAAGAGAAGTTGGCTCTGTGCCCATCTCCAAAGGCCCCACTGCCCAAGCTGGGCTGGGATGATGAGCTGCAGAAGCCCGGGGCCCAGGTCTACATGCACTTCATGCAGGAGCACACCTGCTACGATGCCATGGCAACCAGCTCCAAGCTGGTCATCTTCGACACCACACTGGAGGTGAGGCACAGCTCTGCCCCCACCAAGCTCACTTCTATAGCACTGCACCACCACTACTGTTCCTCTGCATGTCCCCTTCAAGGGCTCCTTCTCAGCTCAATGGAAACCAGTGGGCAGATGAAGCACTTCTGCTTTCTTTGCCCGTTCCCTGACATCGCACTATTGCCATCAGTGCGTTGCACTGGGGATATGAGTGGATGCTCTCCCCTGCCTGTTTCAGAGCATTGCTCAGACATTCACTGTAAACGCCAACACTTCAGAACAACAACAACAATATGTAAAACACAGCTGAGCTGCTCAGGACAAGGAGTAGGAAACTTTTGGTAACAGGAAAATAGCATGAATTTTGATCTCTGCTTTTTTTGCCAACTTGTTATAATATAGCTGTAGTTGTAACCATCGTTGCAGGAGAGCAGTGTTCCCAACACACTGCATCTGTATTGCCCCCAGTATGGGATGTGATTCTAGTTTCATAAGCAAAAACTTGTTTTAGTCTTTTTATATTCATTTTAAAATGCATTAGAAAAAAAAATAATACATGTCTTAGGGTGAAGCTCAAAACTAGCCCGTTCAAGTTTATCTAGAGAAAAAAGATTGTAGATATTAAATAATTACAGAAAGGCTTCAGGCCTTTTGTTCATAGGGTCACTATGCGTGGTGCTCGACTTGAAGGTAATCAACAACAACATGCCCATAGGACTTCTAGAGACAATGCTCACACAGCTTACAAGTGGGAATACTTAGTTTTCAAATACCCTCGTTTAGCTAGTGAGGGGTCACATAGCACCTCTGGTCACAAGCATTCTGGTCTCCACTGTCCAGGGGGCTGACAATGATCATTTCTAAGTGTGCTGTGACATGGGAAAGGGAGGCAATATAGAGTCTTGTGGTGGTCAGCATGCCCACTGGGATGGGAAGGGAGGGGTCACCTAGAGGAGGACCTGGGAGAAGGTCTCGTGAAAGAATCCCGGGTGGGACGGAGGGGCCAGAGGGAAGATGGGCAGGTGCCCAGTGAAGGGCAAGTGGGGGAAAGGGGAGGACTTTCTCAAGATTCACACGGGACCATCCCTCTGTTCCCTTCAGATCAAGAAGGCCTTCTTTGCCCTGGTGGCCAATGGAGTGCGGGCAGCTCCTCTGTGGGACAGCAAGAAGCAGAGCTTTGTGGGTGAGTGGGAACCAGGAAGATGAGGTGGGTGAGGAGCAGGAAGGAAGGGCCCTAGCAGAGCCTTAGGCTGAATCAGGCCAGGGCGAGTGTGAGGGAAACCCAGCCCAGGTCTTCCTGTGGCTGGCGGGGAGACACTGGGGCTGTTTCCCCATCTGAGGAAGAACCGTGACCCACTCACTCCTCCCAGTTCTGCCTCCCTAGGCATCTGTGCTGTAGACGCTAGAAGAGAAAGAAAGGGACAGGATAGTGCCGTTAGGTGCCACTGAAGCCACTACGACTCGTAGCGACCCTACAAACAACAGATCTGCCCCAGCCCTGTCCGGTGCCATCCTTGGAACCGCTCCACACTCACGCCCGCTGTTGCAGTCACTGTGTCTGTCAGTCCACCTCGTTAAGGGTTTTCCTCTCTCTTGCGGATGCCGACCCTCCACGTTTCCCAGCATGATGTCTTTTTCCAAGGACTGACCTCCTGACAACATGCCCAAAGTGTGTAAGACCAAGTCTCAGCATCCTTGCCTGGAGAGAGCATGCGGGCTGCACTCCCTCCGGGACATTTCGTTCATTTGTTCGGCAGTCCGTGGAACAGCCAATAGTCCTTGCTAACATCACAACTCGAAGGCATCCACTCTTCTTCGATCTCCCTTTCATTGCCAATTTTCATAGCCATACGAAGCAATTGAAAATACTGTGACCTGAGTCAGGCACTCTTTAGTCTTTATATCCTTGCTTTTTAACAAGAATGTTGTTGTTGTTATGTGCTGTCAAGTTGCCTGTGACTCATAGCGACCTTATATACAACAGCCCTAAACTCTGCTCTGTCCTGTGCCAATTGCACAGTCTCTGACACTCCCATCCCGATTACCCCAGTCACTGAATCAATCCACCTCATAGAGGGCCTTCCCCTCCTGCGCTGTCCCTCCACCCTCCCAAGCATGACGTCCCTCTCCAAGGACCGGTCTCTCCTTACAACATGTCCAAAGTATGTTAGACGAAGCCCTTCCGCAAGATGAAGAAGCAGGACTGATCATCCACTTCTGAATCAGTAGGCCCTAGAAGACCCTTAAAAACCCTAGGTTATTCTTCTTACATAGACACGCTACTGCTCATCTGCTGATCTGCTGTCCTGTAGCAGCTTGCGAGTTTGCTGTGGTGTTGGAAGCGATATCACCAGTATTTCCAAGACCAGCAGGGTCACCCAAGGTGGACAGGCTTCAGTAGAGCTTCCAAAAGAAGACTAAAAAGTTGACAGGAGAATAGAAGGGGGGAAAGAAAAATTCAAGCAGGAAGAATATGATGGAGAACCCCGTTTCTTAGGCACTAAGTCTGTCCTATGCTCCTCTCTGCAAAACCTGCACTGTCTCAGCATCAGGGCGTGAGCGAGGCAGGAGTGCCCGACTGTTCAACCGGCCTCCCTTCAAAAGCTGCCTCCTCCCCTTCCACCCCTGCAGGGATGCTGACCATCACAGACTTCATCCTGGTGCTCCACCGCTATTACAGATCCCCCCTGGTGAGGATGGATTGGGAGTCCTGGGAGACCTAGACGGGCTGGGCAGAGGGGAGTTGGGGGCCCTGGGCTCATGTCTGACTTCCCAGAGGGTTGTTGATGGTTCTAGGTACAGATCTACGAGATTGAAGAACATAAGATCGAGACCTGGAGGGGTGAGCAAGAAAGAGGGGCCCGAGGAGGCCTTTGAGGGGCTGAGGGTGTCAGTGGGAGGGTTGAACAGTGGGCAGTTCCCAGAGGGATCTGGGAAGAGTGGCTGGAAGCCTCGGGTGCCTGAAGGAAGGGATGAAATCTGAGGCTACAGAGTAAAAACTAGGCTTGCAGGTGGGAGGGTCGGGGATGGCCAGCTCCCCAAGTCTGACTCCACCTTCCTCTGCAGAGATATACCTGCAAGGCTGCTTCAAGCCTCTGGTCTCCATCTCTCCCAATGACAGGTGAGGTCTCAACCCCACCCCGGCTCACTCTAGCCTTGCTCAGTCTTCTTCCCTGGCCCCACTCAGTTCTGAACACACCTCTTCATCCTGGTGACAGGCAGGTTGGCTTGGCCCTCTGTGTTCTTCGTTAGGGAAAGGATAGAAGTATCTCTCCCCAGGCTGCCCCTACGACTCACTGTCCCACCTCCACAGCCTGTTCGATGCTGTCTACACCCTCATCAAGAACCGAATTCATCGTCTGCCCATCCTGGACCCGGTTTCAGGCACTGTGCTCCACATTCTCACCCACAAGCGACTGCTTAAGTTCCTGCACATCTTTGTGAGCCTGGCAGGGGAGGAGGGTGGGGAGCATGGGGGTGCAGTCATCAAGCTAAGGCTCCCAACCCCCAGGACTGGGCAGTGAGGAGCCCACTCAGGTGGGGGCACTTGAGTCCTGATCGCCCATCTCCTCCCAACCCCACCTAGGGCGCCCTGCTGCCCCAGCCCTCCTTCCTCTCCCGAACCATCCAAGATTTGGGCATCGGCACATTCCGAGACTTGGCTGTGGTGCTGGAAACGGCCCCTGTCTTGACCGCCCTGGACATCTTTGTGGATCGGCGTGTGTCAGCACTGCCTGTGGTCAACGAATCTGGTACCACATCCCAAACACGCACACAATCCTGCTCTCTGGCTGGGGTGGGATGAGGAAGGGGCCAGTGAGGTAGACATAGACAGGGGTGTTGGGGGACCAGCCTGGGACCTAGGCATTCCAGGAAGAGATGGAGTGGAGTAATAATTAAGCACTGGACAGATAACACAATGGTGGGCAGTTCAAATCCATTAACTGCGCTGGAGAACAGACTTGGAGACTTGCTCCCTGTGAGGCAATTCTGCTTGTCCTGTTGGGTTGCTATGAGGCATATTTGGTTGGTTTTTCTGTTTCTGTGTTACCAAATAGCTTCAGGTCTGCCACATGGCACAAAAAAAATGAATCTTCAAGACTGTGTATGGGGTGGGAAAGCACAAGGGTTTTTTTTTCATTACGTACAAGAATAGAGAAGACTGGACATGATGCTCAGAAGGGTGGAAGGACAGTGCAGAAGAGGAAGACCTCGGATGAGATTGATTGACATTGGGGTAATGGGAGTAGGTGTATCAGGGACGGTGAGACTGGCTCTGGACAGGGAAGCGTTCACAGCTGTCGTTCATGGCATGACAATGAGTTGCAAGTGACCCAGCTGCACAGGCACATAATAGCAACAACAACAACACAGAGAAGACAAGGTCTGAGTTTCCCAAATCGGTCTCCCTGTCTTGAAGGCTGCAGCAGATGAAGGGCGTATGTAGAGGAAGGACAGGATATCTGAATATAGGGAATTGTTTGTCTCTTCTCTTGCCCAAGTACCCTGATCAGTGGTCACGCTGCAGACTAGTTGCTCAGGTCTGATCAATCCTCCAGAGACACTTGGCACCATCCATATGCTGCCACTTCAGTGGGACCTTAACTCCTGCCCTAACTGCAGGAACCAGATAGGAAACGGCAATAAAAGGCTTTCAAGGAGAGCTTAAAGGATAAGAAGTGGTTAATAAGAAAGCTAACTACCGACTGTTATCTTAAAAGAAAGTCCTTTTGGAACTAACTCATAGCTGACTCTCCAGTGGGTTTTCAGAGGCAGTAAATGCATAGAAGGAGATTGCCCATCTATTTCCCTCAAGCAGTTGATGGATTTGAACTGCTTGCCTTTGGGTTGGCAGTGTAACTCCTTACCCACTAGGCCACCAGAGCTCCCTTTTTCTGTCTTAAGGTATGATAAAATGCTAATCTTATACCAGGAGTTCCGTGGCCTAGGAAAGAGCTGCATTGTCAACCCAAAGCCCGGGCGTTTTGAGAAGTTGGAATCCCTCCAGCTGCTCCTCCCTTGCAATCCTGCTGAGTCGGTCCTGACCAGACAGTACACAAGGGTTTTACATTAACGCTTTCCCTCATTTCCTACCATCAAGTGAGAACCAGCTGAGTGGGCCCTCCAGTGGGTTTTCAGAGCTTTAAATCCCAAGGACAAGATTGCCTATCTTTCTCCTGTGGAGCCGCTGGGGGTTTCAGAACTCACCACTTTTGGATTAGCAGCACTCTTCGGTGTGGACTACGTCAGCAGAGCAGAGGGCCGTAAACTGTTAGTCCCATGTAGAGAGTCCTTTTACCCGAGATATTCTAAGAGGTCAGGGTTTTATTACTTTATTGTCAGTTGCACCTTAAATCTCTTTTAATCTAGAACAGTTTCTCCTTAATTTGCATAGAGATGTGTTGAAAGGTTAGGTCAGTTCTGTGAAATATCGCACCGCCATGGTTAGTTTGTTTGCTGTCTGCAGTAGCCTTTACCATGTTCCTCGACCCCTGTGCTTCCTAGCAATGAGACGTTAGATCTAAAGATGATCAGATTCGGTTACGCATTTGGGGCTAGACTATTTACAGGCGATGTATAGACCCTGTCTCGTGTTATGGCGGAAAGCACAATGTCAGGCTGCCTGACTCTGTGATACCAGATTTGATTCAGGTGCGGGCAGTGGCAGCCTGCTGCCTGTTATAAAGCCAAGTAACTTCGGGGAGGTCTCAGGGGTTGACTCCAGAAGCCTATCCCAGGTCCTGCTCACAGCATGTTGGTTCTCACCTGTCTCCCTCCTTCTCTCCCCCGCCTCCCTGCAGGTCAGGTCGTGGGTCTCTACTCCCGCTTTGATGTGATTGTAAGTGTCTGTGGAACAAGGAGGGGAGGCAAGGGGACTGCATGAGGCTTGGTCAGGTTATCTGGAGACAAGGCGTGCCTGTAGGCTTTGTAAGTGTAGGGAATGGTATCTGAGGACCAGGATCCTGGTCCAGACAGTGATTAAAAGTGGCTCTTCTGTCTTCGCTCCAGCATCTGGCTGCTCAGCAAACCTACAACCACCTGGATATGAGCGTGGGAGAAGCCCTGAGGCAGAGGACACTGTGTCTGGAGGGCGTCCTTTCTTGCCAGCCCCATGAGAGCCTGGGGGAGGTCATTGACAGGATTGCCCAGGAACAGGTACTTGTGCCCAGTTTCTGTCCACATAGACATGCAGAGATGAGTCTCTCATGGGTGACTTTGGCCTTCCCCATTCAGTGGGCACCTGCCCTGAACTCTCCTTTCATGGCCAAGTTCTTGGAATCCTTACCGACCTGCAACTCGTCTTGTTCATGATAAAGCCACAACCAGTTGGTAATCTCCATAACGGTCAAAGCTGTTCCCACCTGGTTCCTGGGGGACACCTCCTCATTCCCGGAGTTTTGTCCGATTGTCTCCTTGACTCTTCTTCTCTTAATATTTCCTTTTCTGATGAAAATATACATGACAAAATCCATTTCCATTCAACAATACCTAGACATGATAAGCGGCATTGGGTGCATCCTACGCATCATGTCACATTCTCATTATTTCTGTTCTTCTAGCTTTTCACATTTTTTTTTGTCTTAAACTCCCTGTCTTCAAAATTTCTTGTTTTAAAATGGCTGTTGTGCATATGATCTTTTTTTTTAAGAACATAGTAGTGAAACACCACCTCCTTACCTGCCACAGCCTCACGGCTCTGCCTCTACCTGACTCTGTGTGGACCTGCAGGTACACCGGCTGGTGCTAGTGGACGAGACTCAGCATCTCCTGGGTGTGGTCTCCCTCTCTGACATCCTTCAGGCGCTTGTACTCAGCCCTGCTGGCATCGATGCTCTCGGTGCCTGAGAATATCCACGTCCACACCTTCTACGCGGGGACGCCAGTGAAGGGAGGCAGGGACCCAGCCTTCAGCTTCTTCCCAACTCCCATAGGATGGTGCCGCTCTGACTCAGGTAGGCTCTGAATGGGACTGTTGGCACCAGCACCAGCCCCTCAGTCTTGGCTGAGATCCCAGGCCGCACACAGGTGGTGCACCTTGAAGATGACAGTGACCCAACTCATAGCTCAACGTCTTTATGACAACTATCAGTGTAAGAACTCACTGGGAGTTCTTAGGACACCACTTGTCACGTCTGAAATAAGGTCATGAAAGCCCTCGTTAAGAAGGGTGGACAGCGGCTAGGGTAAAGGTAAGGGTGGCAATGTGATTTCAGATAATATGGGGAGATTTATCTGCCCTCTTACAATTTCATTCTCATCTGTTTGGAATTGTTTTGGAAGAAGTACCTTAGTAAACCTTTGCTGGATGGGTTTTCCATTCTCACTAAGAATTAAGGCTCATCTCAGTAAATTGTATATGAACTTGAGCTTTTTTCCTGATGACACATTTGCTAGGGATTGTGGAAGGGTGCAGCACAAATTCTGCCCACCTGGTAGTGCATGGCAAGATTGAGGATCCTTTGCTGAAGGCTCAACTTCCTATTTTGTCATAATCTTCCCTTTTCTTTTCCTCATAGGCTTCTCCAGCCATTCCTAATTGCCCATGCCCTATCTGTGTTCCCAGAAGTCCTTGGGAATGCCCAGTGCATCATGGGATGATGCTCCTAAAGAGTATAACTGAGTCAAACCTGGAGGTCCTTGAACCAGGGCACTGGGATTACTTCAAGGCCATCTTTGCCTATGTTCACCTACAATTTCTTTCCATTTGTCTGGGCTCTGATGTCCCTGGAGGGATGATGAGCCCCCTCCCCCCCCACCCCAGGTTTAGTCAAAGACTTTGGATTTCTGACTTCCTGACTACCAGTCACGAATACACCCGCAGTTCCTGGATGTCACAAGCTGTTCTTCTCTGTGGACTCTGACCTTAGTGGTTCCTCACAATCCTTATCCCTCTTCTCCTACTCTTAGCACAGTCATCTCACGGCTACAAGGGGTCACCACGGAATTTCCAAACTAATTGTTTATAGAGCTGCCTGTCAGAGTGGGGTCCTCCCTTCCTCCATTCTCACCCAGAAAAGTCTTTTAGCTGTCACCATTGAAAAGGGTTCTCAATCCCCAGAAATGATCTTCTATTCAGATCTCTGAGAATGAACAAGAAAAAAACAAACAAAAAACCTGAAAGGAGTTGATAGGCACTGCAGGTGACAATAGTTCCATTTGTGTATATAGCATTTTTCCATCCCAACTACTTATGAAATCTTTTATTTATAACATAATAATAAAGAACATATTCATTAAAGCTACTGAAATAATAAAAAAGACATCCTGCTGGTATAGTGCATATGTTCTCAGCTGCTCACTTGAAGGTTGGTGGTTCAAATTCACCTGCCATTCCAAGGGGAAAAGATAAGCAGTCTCCTTTAAATATTTATAGCTTTGAAAACCCACTAGAGGGTGGCTGTGAGTGAGAATTGGTGCAATGGCAATGGGTTTATAATGGCAGTTTTGGTATATAATAGGCAGCCACAGGAATGGCAGTGTTTCACTCTGTAGTTCACATGGTCACTAGGATGAGTTGGACTGACTCAATGGCACCTAACAACAACATAGCAGGTGGAGGCCCTAGACAGTGCATATGGTTAACATTCTTGGCTGCTGACTGAAAGGTTGGATGTTTGAATCTACCTAGAGGCACCTTGGAAGAAGAATCTGATGACTGACTTTAGAAAAATCAACTCCTGAAACCTCCATGGAGCATACAGTTCTTCTTGACACACATTGGGTTACCATGAGTCAGAAGAGACTCAGTGGAAGCTGATATATAATAGGTTAACTTGGTCCATAAACTCGAATTGTTAAAAAAAAAAAACAAAAAAAAAACCAGAACGTTATTTTTTTCTAAAATGCAGTATAATTTTGTTTTGAATCTGATTTCATCCGGTGGCAGAAATGAACTCAGTCAATCTGAATCCTCTCACCTGTTCTTTGGGTTACGTCCAGGGGAAAGGAGAAGCTTTAGGTAATAATCGTCTTTGTTTCTCATCATCATCCAGCCATTCATGCCGGCCTCTGCTAACACACCCTGATTCTCCTCTGGATGTCAGTTGGTTGGCCGCTGCCATGCAGGGTCACTGACTGTTCTTGAGGCATCCTCATTCCTGGCCATACACTCCTCTGGACTTGAGGAAGCTGTACCAGGCCTATCTGATCAGAGTACACAAATGGCCTGGGATCTGGCTGTTTTCTCAGAGTATCCCCAGGACGTGTTGGGTCGACAGCTTTTCTGCCACTATAATTTCCCAACTTATCTGGATTATCTGTTATACTCAGCCCTTTTTCAGGAACCCCAGCAATGTTTGCACTCCCTTCACTTCCCTTACCCCCTACCAGCCTATGGCGTCTTTTTACCCAGCATTCTCTGGGGAAAGTAGCTCTGGTGGCCCAGTGGCAAGAAGCAGTGCTAAAATCCTGAAGGCATATGGTTTGAGGCTACCAGCTGCTCCATGGGAGAAGAATGGGCAGTCTCCTTCCATGTGATTAACTGCCTCTGAAAACTCACTAGAGGGTCAGCTAGGAGTTCGTTCCAACTCTACAATACAACAACAACATTCTCTGAAGAACACAAATGATTAACACACTCAGCTCCAAATTGAAAGGTTTGGATCTATCTAGAGGAACCTCAGGGGGCTCTGGTGGCTTAGTGGTAAGGAGTTGCACTGCCAACCCTAAGACTTTTGGTTCAAATCCACCAGCTGCTCTGCAGGAAAAAGATGAGCCATCTCCCCTTGTGCAATTTACAGCCTCTGAAAACCTGCTGGAGGGTCAGCTGTGAGTGGATTCCAACTCTACAGTACATAACCACAACAGAGGCACCTTGGAGAAATGCCTGGAATCTAAAATCTTGTGGCGCATAATTCTGCCCTGACACACGTGGGGTCACCGTGAGTTGGAATCTACTTGACATGATGAGTGATTTTTGTCCTCCAATCCATCATATATTCTCTTACTGTTATGTGTTCTGAGTTCTTGCAACTCACTCTGAAGGTTAGACTTTTAAATTTAAAAAAACAAGTATCAACTTCTGCTATGGCACCTCTCCACCATAACAAGGGACACTGAAGGGCTAGTTGTCCAGTGGGAGAAAAGGAAGTTAATATTTAAAAGCTAATCTTACCATATTTACCTCCCAGAACAACAAAGTGGACATATTTGTGCTTAGTGTTATGGATTAAATTGTGTCTCTCCAATTGTGTCAAGTTAATATGTTAACGTAACCAGATCATGATTCTCAGTATTATGTTGTTTTCCTCCAGTTTAAAACCAAATGTCTTTTTTTCTCCATTTGGTGATCTGATATAATCATCCTATGTGTTCTAAATCCTAATCTCTGTGATGTTAGGCAGAATTAAAAGAAGTTATGTTAATGAGGTAGAATACAATCTACAGGTTGTATCTCTTATGAAATAAAAAAGAGATTAAACAAATAACCAGAGATCATGGGGACTCAGTACCACCAAGAAAGAAGAGCCTGGAGTGGAGTATGTCCTCTGAGCCTGGGATCCTTGTGCTAAGAACCTCCTAGATCGAGGGGAAGATTGATTCCAAGATACGTATAGATCTCCAAGGGATGTCAGACGTAGATGTTGAAAGGAAAGAGAATCTTCTTCCTCCAGAATTAACACACAAGCCACCTTCTAGCACTAATGTCCAGTATTCAGATTTATAGCTTCCTAAACTGTGAGATAATAAATGTGTTTGCCAAAGCCACAAATATCACAATTACCACACTTGTGATATTTCTATTTTAGTAGCTGGTGGTCTGGTGTTAAGAAGCTGCACTGAAATCCCAAGGGTACACAGTTTGCATCCACAATGGATGATGGGAGAAAGATGGGCGATCTTTTTTTCATTCAGTTAACTGCTCCTGAAAACTCACTCGACAGAACACAACAATAACAGATAATCAAGACAGTCAGATAGGCAGCAGTGAAGGGGTTTTTTCCTCATTGAACCATCAAGTTCTGTTTCCAGTTTTATTATAACTCACAGTGCAGTGCTGATGCTGCCCAGCCCTGCCCGAGAAGGTCTTTGGGGTCTTGGCTCCACAGGGAAGGTGAGATGGAGTGATTGCTGCATCTGGGCTGCAGAAGAAGCTCCTTAGGAACAGTAATCATGGGGAGCTTGGGGGTAGAGTGAGGGTGACCATCTTTTGAGGCTGTGTCCACCGCAGGTTGCTCTGTGGGAGAAAGCTTTCAGAGGTAACTAACAATCCTGGCTTTAGGTGGAAAGGCCAGGATTGAGGAAGTCACTTTTCTCTCTCTCCTTGCCCCTTTCTGAGAGAGGACAGGTCTCTACTCTTCTAGATCCATCACTCTGAGGACCCAGGGACCCCCCCCTTTTCCTTCCTACCCCAGGGGCCTCTTCTAACTCAAGCACCCTTCTGACCGCTGCTCCTACGTTTTCATCCACCATAACTGCTAGAAGAAAGGCAGAGTTGCCATGCCAACTGAAACTATTTCCCTCTACTGTTGATCTTGTTAGGTGACATAGGGTCCTACTCATAGCAACTCTGTGAACAACAGATTGATTCCTTACTAAATGCTGTGATCTCTGTATAATAATCATTATCATACTTAAGCCCATAGTTGCAGTCATTGTCAATCCCTCTTATTGAGGGTCTTCCCTTCTTTCTCTTACCCTCTACTTTTCCCAACATGATGTCTTTTTCCAGTGACTGACTCCTCTTGACAACATGCCCAATGTATTCGAGATCAGTTTTCACGATCCTCTCCTCAAATGAGCCCCATAGGATACCACAGGTATAGAGTACCGTAGGAGAGTCAGTATTCTTCATCAACACCGCATTTCAAGATCTCAATTCTTCTTTGGTCATAGTTTATTACTTA